GGCACCTATATTATTTAGATTTAAATAAGTGCAGATTAGGACAAACGTGATCATATTACGCGTATATTATACGTCGATCGTGTATTTTGGGCGTATCATGCGTATAATATTATACACTACTGTTTGTATTATGTATCTACCTATACCGTAAGTTTAATGTCACATATACATAATAATATATACAATATACATTATGTATAGATGATGCAAGGTAAATATCCGATGTATTATTATGGAGCCTGTTTTATCTTATGCTTACAAAGACTTGAATTTCTTTGCACAACCGTCACTTTGAATCTTAGTTTATTATATGGCATGTAAACACAAAACTATGGAGAATCTGGAMTACGTCGATCGACCACGATTTTTGAATATTGTATTATTGTACCATACAAATATATAATATACAGGGAGATGATTTTGTCGTTTGCCAGATACAATATATTATAAAATGCAGTGGCTTTTAACATTTATTGAGAATAAATATCGATTATATAGTTGAAAATCTCTATAGTATTCAACAATATCGTGTAATAACGTCAATGGTTATTTTTTTTTTCGCAGGACATGGTGCAGGGACTGTGGACGCTGTCGCGGGGATCGGTTGACGACAAGCTCCGGTGGGCGTTCACGCTATATGACCTGGATGGTGACGGGCAAATATGTCGGGACGAGATGACACGCGTCGTGACGGCTATCTACGAACTGATGGGCAAATTCGCCGAACCGTGGCTCAAGGACGGCACGACGGTGGCCGCGCACGTAGATTTCGTCTTCCAGGTGAGTTTACACATTAATATTTTATTTAAAACTTTTACAAATGAACACGACATGATATGGTTTAGATTAAATGTAATGAATAATATAATAATAAGTCGTATAATTATTAATTATTTCTGGTTTTCGCATAGAATCAGTAAATCGTGGGTCATACCGCTTATAATATTATTCACCATGATATAATTTGATGAATTGTTATATTCAGCAACTACAGCTAACTCTCTCGAATCATATTTTACCCACTTTTAGTATTGGTTCCGTTTTTTTCTTCGGTAGGTACCAGGTAACAAAAAATTTGAATTTTTTTTAAGTAGATAATATATTATTAGTAAATAATAATACAATACAATAGTAACACGGAGTCTCTGATAGGCAATTCAGCTACACCACTGCCACTGTCTCACTTTTTTGGTGTCTCGTTTGATAGTTTATGAATTTATTGTAAAAATACGTAAAATTATGGYAGTCATGACAGCAACTATAAAGCCCGAGCATAGTGAAATTATTATGTAAATTACGTTGATGACGACTGAATGAAATTTAACGCAACCGACCAACCGAGATAAAGCCATTACAATATGACAATATCGTACAAGATAACCACCCAACACAGTTCAATCTGTATAATAAAACATAACAATAGTCCCTGCTATATTGAATAAAATCGGTGTTTTGTTCTTAGAGATACCGCGTTTGGCGTTGTTATTTATTTGTACAATAAATAAGACGTTAATTGTTTTCTTCCGGTGCRCCCCTCTCAGCCTTATCGGCGGCTATCTCTTGGACCTTACGACTATTTGTACGAGCCGGAAAACGGGACGAAAATTAGTACGCGTTGCCCATCCTGTCTGCTTAGTGAAATAGGTCAACACCGTTTGTGGGTACAATCTAAAACTATAAACATAATATTAATACGTACACTAACATTAAACAATTCTAAGAAAACAATCCGGAAATTTTCGTCAATTGTTTTGTACATTTGAATACATAATATCATCATCGAGTAATGGCCGTTTTGTATCCGTATTCGTCGTCTTAACTACCCAGCTAATCGGTTTACTTTTCTACGACATTAAACCAAGCGCAACGAGAACTCGGCTTTAAGGTCTTAAGTTTTTGCGGTACAATAGTAATTTATAATCATTATTATACATAACACGAATTRCAATAACATGATAAAATCAAATACTACGATAGGCGAAAAACACGATAAGCCCTAAAACCAATTATTTCTAAATAATCCAGGAATTTTGGACGTAYGTCAAAATATCTTGATTGCCCATTATAGATCCCACCAGAGTACTATAATAATTATAAGAAGTAATTAASTGTTAAGTACGTGCAACATTTATTTTTTTAATTTATGTTATAACTATTGGAATACGTTATAGGTACGCATAACTCAATAAAAAATACGATTTATAAAAAAAAAAAAATCGTTGAAATTGAACAATATATTTTAGTAAGTTTGGCCTCCACTAGCTCAACTTCATAAATCCTTATCTATTTGGGAACATAGATCGTGGTTGAGTATGTTGAAGACGACGGAGGAATGCTCATGAACATATATTATAATAACATTACATTCACTTTTTATAAGGTATCAACACCATTATTCGAAACDTTGTAAWAATGTATGATCACCCTGATACGAAGATTTACACACCATAAAAGTGCATTTGACAGACATATCGCAAGCGGTTCTAGTATTGTTAGATTWTCGTTGTCCGTCGTGCGAMCATACTAAAATTATAATATTATTTTCTACTTCAAAATGGACCAATTTTGGATATTTATCCAAATGCCATAGAAGTCATCAGAAATATAATTGAATATTTTAAGCCAATTTTTAATACACGTGTCGGTTTATCATTATTATAACAATATCTTTGGTGACAAATTATGGTAAAGATTGTCATTGTATAACAGTTGATAAAAGTATATTATTATATGGATAGGTTTTGGCTCTTTTTCTTATTTTGTACCTTTTCACGTACGCTCATTTAACCCACGTACGCTTTATAACAATTCCTATAAATCATTATTAGTTTTTACAGAATCTTTTAATAACACGCGGATAAATGTATTTGTCGGTTTACTGAAAACGTGTCCAATACACACATTGGAAATACGCCAGCGTATTATCTCTGTATAGTGTATCCAAAACCGTATACCTTTAAAAACTACCGCTCATATTGTAGACAGTATAAACCGTGCAATAATAATGTTCGTTTTCAATAGGTATAGTAAATCTTCGTTCGGATAAAAAAAAACTGATCAGATATATACCATTATAATACATAATATAAGTATATAACAATATACAGGATGATGATTTAYCAAGCATGATCACATTCTTTTTTATTATGATAATACATTTATTGAATTTTCGATTTTAAGCATTTTCATGTATATTAATTAAAAGCAATATTTTTAAACGCTAAGATAGTTTGTATCATTTCACGAGTATCCCGTGATAATAGAAAATTCTGTTTTTAAAATTAGAACTTTACTTTTTACTGTAAACTATTTACTAATTGCTATTAAGTAGATATTTATTTTAAAATTCCCATGCATAAATCTAAATTTATAATACATAGTTTCTGATTTTTAAAATATTTATTATAAAAATAATAATAGTCCTTAAAAATGTGTTTATATAAATACGAAATGTAATATCAAATGTAGTGCTCAGTATACTCAGGCAATTTTCATATCATTAAAACTTCTATATATTTGAAAATATTAACATAGACATTGTTAATTTTCAATAACTATTAGAGACTATATTGAATACTAGTTCAGATTGTAATTATAATACTTCTATATTTCTAGAAAAAAATTATCTCCTCAATGAATCGTCGTAAAAACGAGATATCGCTGTAAAAACGGGCGATTCTTATTTAAAAAAAAGTTTGTATTGCTACAGTCCTCTTCTATATAGTCTAATTAGTTTAAAATATAGAATTTTAATAGATTAACTTAAAAATTCCTAAGGTCAGAATATCGATAAATGTATTTATTTATTTTCCTGTGATTGTCTGGTTTAACTATACCTATCAACCTACCTATAAATTATATACATATAAAATATAATGAATTATATCATAGATATATAACTATTAACTACAATATATACTTTATATATCGAAGTTTTAGTGTAATGCAACAACAAAAATTTAAACAGTTGTGTTTTTTCGATTAAAGAAATAAAATGGTCCTGAGACTGCGTAGTGCGCATAATAAATTTTATCTAGGTATACTGAAATATAATACGTGCGTGACGGTAATATTCGAATTATTATGACGATTATCTGCATCTATACAAAACATCGCTTCCCAAAACTCGACGCACTTAAAATAATTTTTTACCATATTTTGTGCATTTAGAATATTATTTTGCCCTACTGAAATTTACCTTATATAATAAGGTATTTTTAAACGACTCGTCTACGTCAAAACATTGGTACTTACGTAATTAAGATTTACTTGCTTGCAAAATGTTATAAAAAATATATTGTTCAAGTATGTATAAAAACGATTCGTACGCTGTTGCTAGAATTATAAAAACCCGATTCGAATTCAATATAAAACTTAGAGCTGTATCTATTAATTGTATATGTTTAATCATCTTTCGTGTGTCATATTTTCGCTTTTATATACCTTATCTTGCAATCTCAGCTCAAAACTAATGAAAATGTAAATAATATACATAAATATAACTTTTAGGCAGACATTTTTCAATCTGTATACCATATATACCTAAGGACCGAAAAWMATGATGGTTAGCTGAGGGAATCGATATTCCTTGTCCAATAATTTTAAGAAGAACTATTTGCCAGCGTTATATATCTGAATAATGATTGTTCGTCTTGTGGATACAATTCCAAGTCTAATAAACCGTTTCAAAAGGCTTTGGTGTATTTAATTGTTACACCCATTTTCAGGAAAAATCATTTGAATACTCCAGTCAAAATATAAGCGTTTGAGGTTTAATATTATAGTAAGTGCCTAGTTCATACTATTGTYGTGATCACTATTATTTGTCTTAACGTGACTRAAATGTGCTCCGTGATGGATGAAAACGATGAATATTACGATGACACTTTATTTTATTATACACTGAAGCAACAAATCCGATAAATCTATCGAACGTACACGAGTCCTCTTCGAAACGTATTATTTCGAAATTATAATATTATTAGTGTCTTGTCACTGTCTCGAAATACGAACGACTCGCATTTATATGTCGCGGTAAAAAAATAATATATTATACTCACAGGCAGTTGTGTTATAATATATTTACAATACGCACGACGATCGTGGGCACCGACCGTAAATCTGATTCGACTCAGAAAATACATGTATAGGTAMCAACATTTATTATTTTTTCGTTTTTTCCATTCCTCTTGCGTGTTTTCACACTTTTTGAGAGTAACGACGCCCTTTTTCTAATCATTGATATACGTTACTTGACAATTATTAGAACCCGAGCATARTAATATATTATTATATCCAATACACTATTTTAATACAGCGGTGTTTGTTACGGAAAATGAAGMACATTGATTCTTGGTCGTGTAACATGATACATATTTAAGAAATTTCAATTTTTATAAAATTTATGATAATCATATTTTATTTGTCTTGAGCAAGTTGTATTTATTCAGGAGCTAGGTATGCAATATAATCACTTTTATATAAAATTAAGAATTTCTTATAAAAAATAAAATAACAATATCACTTCAATCAAATTTTATCAAATTTCGTTAATTTTAGATACGATTCTAACTTTTGCAATATTAAACGTTGCAATAATTCAAAGCAAAACAAAAATAAAATAACTTTTTTAATTGTAGCATGCATAAATTTCTGAATTCGGTACGTTAAAAGAAAATTACCATAACGAAATGAGTTTTAATTTTTATACACATAGTTTTACATCAAAAAGTAAAAAATATTTCATTTATGAAACTAATTACAAAAAAAAAAAAAACCTA